TTCTACCCTGTTCTTGTCCCGCCTCCTAGATGCTTTCCTGTGAAAAAAACGTGTGTTTCGGTCACCCTCTTGCAACCAAATTTCACGTGATCGTTGTCTCCACATGGTCTCCTCCCTTTCCAACCACTCTTCAGTTTCAGCAAGCACCTTTTGTTCTTCATTCTGAATAGCTTCTGAGGAAGGCATATTCTTCAACGACTCAAGGTGTTCCATGCGTTGCTTAAGTTGAGTCTGCACATGGCCAAAATGGGAATAATTCCAGCTTTGGAGTCTCATAGAACTAAGACTGATTTTCTGTAGTAAACAACTCCAATTTCCTTCACCTGTAATAGAACTCCAACTAGAAAGCACTGTTTCATTGCACCCAGGATCTGGGAGCCACATGTCTTCGAACCGAAATCTCTTCTTGCGTCTATTGTGACGCTTATAATGGCTATCAAGAGTAACCCATAGCGGAGAATGATCTGAGGACAAGGGGGGCAGTAATCTAACTTTTGCTCGAGGGAACAAATTCCGCCATCTGAGGGTGGCAAGGCCTTTGTCCAACTTCTCTTTAACACCTCCTCGACGCCAAGTGAAATGGCCTCCGACCATTTGTATCTCCTTTAAGTTACATGCTTCCACCACTTCCCTGAAGCCATGTAGCATCCACTTAGGCTGAGGATTACCGCCTACTTTATCATCTGGTTGTAAGAGATCATTAAAATCCCCTCCAATCAGCCATGGTAGCTCAGATTTTGTGGCTAAATCTTGTAAAAGTTGCCACGAGTGCCTTCGGTTGTGTCTCTCAGGGTGCCCATAATAACCTGTGAAATGCCATGTGCAAGAGCCCATGTGTTCAACCTTCATATCTATATGATTCCGTGAATAGGAGAGAAGTGATAGTTGTATGTCATGCTTCCAAAGCATAGCCAAACCGCCACTGCGTCCCACTTTGTCCACTGTAAAGCAATGACTGAAACCCAATCTTCTTCTTACTTTGTCCATTCCTCTTTTATCCAGTAGAGTCTCACACAAAAACACTACTGCAGGCTGCTTCAGCCCCACCAGTTCGATGAGGCAACGAACTGCACGAGGGTTCCCAAGCCCTCGGCAGTTCCAACAGAAGAGACTCATGGTGATCGGCGGGCCTGCGTGGCAGCACCCGCCGATAGTATAATAGCATCACCAACATCACTTATACCTTTGCCCCGCTTCTGTCCACCGAGTTGCTCACTTACAAGGATTTGGGATTGCTCGTCCTTCCTCTTGATCCGACAGGAAGAACTTAAAGTGTGTGAGCTAGAATGGCGTCGTTCTCGAGCCTCCTTCTTCCAAGATCTAGTCTTCGGAGGGTTATCACACGGGGTCGAGGAGAACACAAAGATTGAGTCCGATTCTTGGGTCTCAGCGAAGCGGAGAGGCCCAGCACTATTATGGCCTTGTTGTCTTTCCATATTATCAGAAAGACCTGGCCCACTTTGTTTGGGAGGGGGGGCCCCCAGTGGAGGACTATGCTTCTCTGGAACATTCAAATTTAAGGCGGGAGCTCCATCACAGATATCAACAATATTCCCTGTATTCCCTTGATTATGCTGTCTTTCCATATACTGCGTTTTGGGGCTCGAATCAGACTGACAATTTCCCAAACTACCGTATCCCTGCAATATTTGACAGCCCGAATTTAAGGCACTCATTTGCTCCACCGGATTCTTTGTTGCGTCCCGATAATCACGGCCATTCATGCCAATCTCCCTTCCGTGAACATTGCACATTTCCAAATCAGGCCTTCTTCCCAATTTTGGGAGTTGGTGTCTCTCCCGTGAGTTCTCACCGGTTGGGAAGCCGGCGGCGTCACGCAACCATCTCCCATTATTCGTTGCGGCCTCCTGTCTCTCCCGTTTCGATGCTGCTCTAAGCCTGTCATCATAAGGCCGCTCCGTTACTCCCCTATGTTCTAGCTCCAAACCCAACTCATAGTCCCGTTCAACATGGTCCAACATGCCACAACAATAACAGAAATGCGGGAGCCGCTCATACCGAAACGAAACCCAAACTAGCCCATCCTTCAAAGAAAGCTTCATGCCACGTCGCAGAGGTTTCCTTGAGTCAATAAACGCGCGAACACGAATATAATCTGTACCCCATACCTGACCATTCCCTGCGTCCACCTCAATGAGTCTCCCAATTTCTGCACCAATTCTTCTACCTGTTGCTTCAGTCATTCGGCTTGGTGGCAAGTCATGGATCTGGATCCAGAATGGAACCTCAAAAAGTTCCTCCTTAGTTATCATCTTTCCATCATGCGCCTCCTTTAGGATCATGACATGATCAGCAAAACGCCATGGACCCGCTGCCAGCACTCGGTTCATGTCCACTGGATGAAAAAAATAAAGAGCAAAATGGTTATGCCCCAGGATTCGCATGTGCATACCTTTTACTGGTTTCCATACCCCAGCTAGTGTAGATTCCATCGCTTCCATGTTATACCGCTTCCTAGTCAGAACCGTTCCGACTATGCACCACTTGGAGACTCCGCCATCAGGATCATTACCTATTCCATCATCTAAATCAAGGCCAACATCTTCATCTGCTGTTAAAGATAGTTGTTTACCCATCGCTATCGTTAGATCCTGCACATTGGATTCAGCCATCGTGGAATCCCTAT